CCATCTTCTTGTGAAACATATTTAATCAGGAGATTCAACTTGAAAACGATTATCATTTGGCAGAAAAACAAACACGAAAGAACATTTTTGCAAGCAAAATGTTAATGATTGGAAGAATTGCACCAATTTCTGTTTGACAGTGTGTGATTAATCTTCTGGGTCAGGTACTTATATTTTTAGCCATTAGGTTCATTGTCCTTTGATAGTCAGAACTCTTTCTAGCCTAATAGGATATTGATTTTTTTGGATAGTGTACTTTGACTCCTTAAACAACACTCACTTTTGAAAACTGTAAACAATGTCTAACAATTCATCCAGACCAAAATGCTGGGCATGGAATTTGAAGGTCAATGGAAAAATTAGTATGAATTTCATCCAGGCCACCTTTAACACGTGATCAGTTTGATTTCTCAACAGGCACATATAAGTAAACTATATATGGACATTTTAAGTCAAAACAGCTTGAAGGTTCCTCATTTTTATTGCAATTCAGCATCTACATCAATACTACAGGGGTTTGACTCTAGCTTATAAAAAGCAAGTCCACTTCTGTTCTAAGCTCTTAGACCAGGCAAACCAGTGAAGTACTAATTAACCAATTGCGGAGTTGTTTTATTCCTAAATTTGGGATTTATGATTTAGTTATCATCCATGTGTCTGGCCTTAGGCTGGTAAAACTTGCTATAACATTAGAAAGTCTTAGCCAATGGCAGTTTTTAAGTCCAACATAGACAAGACTATTCTTTATATTTCAGTGTATGTATTAGGTTTACCAAAAATTCTTTAAAATGAATCTTATTGGATGCTTGCTGTCGTCCAGTTATTTGTTAAGAGGTCTTACCCACCTGCCCCTCCCCAAAAAGAGAAAGGTAATCGGTGTGGGAGAGAGCATTGTGGGAGCAACTCCAAGAAACTCAGGATTTAGGAAGTTTATTAGCTTCTTTCTCCCGTTTCATTCCTCTATTACAGGGGTCCTCAACCACCGGGCCGCGGACCGGTACCGGTCTGTGGAACATTTCCTACCGGGCCGCCGGTTTTCTGGGTGCCGCCATCTTGTTTGACGAGAAAGTGCTTCCGGGTGAGCTTTTCCGGCTGGAAAGCGGTGTTTGGGTCCTGAAGGAATCTTCACGCCTTAGTTTCATCGAAGGGGGGGGGCTTCGAACGAAACTAAGGCACGAGGATTCTTTCAGCACCCAAGGCAAGGCAAGCCGAGCGACCATCCCGAAGCCGTCCCGAAGCGAAGCCCATCGACAAAGGTACAAAGGAGGAGTTGAAGGTGGTGGGGAGAAGCGGGGGACGGCTGGCTGGCTGGTCACTCGGCTCGCCTTGCCTTGTCATGCGTGCTGATGCCAGTACCGGGCTGCGGATCATTTTGTGATACCGGTACTGGGCCGTGGCACAAAAAAGGTTGGGAGCCACTGTTCTATTATACCAAACAAAAATACTCAATTCAGTGAATCATCATCAGCAGCTATCATTCTAAGGCCTCATTCTCGCACTTACTAACTGTGGCACAAAGATGCCCCACTAATCATTTTTGGAACGAGCATTCTTAGGGCACAGGCTTCGTTATATCTCCCATTGCCATGGAGGCAGCTTACATATATTTTTAACTCTTCTGATTTTAAAGTATTGTTTTTACTCTTCTTTTAACAGAAATGTTGCTATAGGAACACTGACATCTCATTGTCAATATTGGCAATGACAGAGTCAAGGGCTGGATTCTGTCCAGCTTCCTTTGACCATTTTTGGTTGTTGTAGTCACACTTCCCCTCTGTTCTACTTTCTAAAGCCACGGCTTCAGTTGAATAATCTGCCTGGATAATGCTTGCTGAGTTCTTCACAAGGCAACATTCAGATATCTCACAAACTCTTAATATGTATGGCTCTAGCATTCTTCTGGAGTAGTGTTATATTTGTTTTAAAACTTGGGTTATAGTGGCCATTTCAAAGAGGGTAGACCTGTGCTTAAAAAGCACGACTATTGCTCTTTGCGCAGAAGGTTGATTTAAACCAGGAAACAGCTAGGTTCTGTCCACTGTGTATTATTGAAACTGTCCCAAATTAGTGTATTATGGGTTTTCCATTGCTTCTGCCAACAACAGCAGTGCTTTCTATCGTTTCTAATATTTTCAGTGTATGTGTGGGCACTTGCCTACTCCAACATCATTTTGCATACTCCATATGATACCTCTGGGTGCTACAACACTTCGCCAACAACGCCATTCTCTTGCAGCTCTTAACAACTTTGAGAATTGAGAACTGAGGTGAAACTGACAAGAGTTCTGGAATTTCTTTTTTTAAAATCTGTGCCACAAGTTCCAAGCTCAGCTGAGGGGAAGGTCTATGGCATAAACAGAGAACCCTAAAACTCCTTAGAAGCTTGTTGCTCTGTAAATGGTCACATGAGATCTTTCTGAACACTAGTCTTCTGACACCAGTAAAGCTATCCTGGATGGTAGGTTGTTGGAGCAGAGAATGATCTGGAGATGTTATGGAATGGAGCTCTCTGAACATGTCATAGGATGTCATGCTGACTTACCCTGATCTCCTATGTCTCACAGATCTCTCAATTGGGATACATTGGGATACATTAATACTGATCTTCCAAAAGACTGACAGACCTATAAACTGAATGCCATATTTATGTTGCTGTCCTTTCACATGAGAAATTTGAAATATACGGTATTTACTTTCCCAGACATCTACCTGCCATTGCCTCAAATTGTCTCCAGACATATTACAGACAGTGTTTAATGGTCATTTCCCCCATAGATAGGGATGCTATCTAGGGGAGGGAGAAAGCAGCCATGGGAATCCACCAGTCACTTTTTAAAATTTGTTTCATGTTCAACTTTAAGACAGTGCTACTCCTTGGCCTTGCAACTGAGTCAAAACAGAGTTTGGCTGTTGGAAAAGAGCTAGTTAACCTGGGATACTTTTCTGTTGACTCAGGAACTGGAGGAATCTACTTTAAGGTGGCTGTGAGGAAGAATCATAAGTTTGTTTGATTTTAATCATTACAAATTCATCTCATTGTCTCAGAATTTGAAGAGCCATCAGCTGGAATCTTACATCCCTCTGTTTTCTTCACTGAGTAAATCTTTATGGTTTGGAACTCCATGATGCTTATAATGGAGATATAACTTTGGGTCTATCTGGCTTCTGAAAGTAGAAGAAAGATAGGGTAAACATGGTATAAGGTTATGTCATTATTAATAACTATTTCATTGACTTCTATAGTCAATAATTTGTAGACTCCTATGTTCTTTACTTTGATTTTACAGAGTGAGACTTGTGAAGTTCAGCACAGATAACTTATCTGCAAGAACTGATATTTTTGAATTTCTAATCAGCAGGGGAATAGAACAAAATAATATAAGTCTATCTGACTGATTAAACCATTAACACTGCAGTGTGTAACAACAAATGATTTTGGCAATTTAAGGTTATTCTCTCGAGTTAGACAGACTGGTCACTAATTTTTGCAGTTAAAGTGGTGCACCTTTGCCTTTGTGTAACTTTTGGGCAATATTGCAGCCTTTATCTGAGAACACTTTGGCCTAAAGGATGAAAAATTATCTGTCAATTGCACTGGGGAGCAATGTAGTGAACCGTTAAATAGAAATGTTAACCACCTTGTGAATCGAGGTTTTATTTTCCCTTAGTTGTTTGTGGAATCTACATTCCATTATTTGCAAATTACACCAGATTAATTGAACAAATGCTTTCAAAATGAACCTAGAGTGTTGGTTTAAAAGCATGGAGGAAGTGGTTTCTTAGACAACGGTTCCCCACAAAGAGGGTTGATACCTGGAAGGGGTAAGGTGGTTACATTAATTACAGAACTGTTGATTGTTAAACTGAAGGCTGGGGTTTTATTTAAAGCTTTGCTATTCAATAAATGGTTCTCATTAAGTCTTTAACATTAGCTAAAACACTGTTCTAGCTGAAACAGCTGTGCTTTGTTGTTACATCTTTTAGCACATTGGAAAACTTATTTGATTAATGGTGAATTGCAAGGGTAACAGCTTTACTCATTAAGCATGTGGGATATTCCTAATGATCACAGTTTGCCAACCAGAAAGGAGGCAAATTGAGTTATGTTATATTCCCCTTTAATCTAGGTAATAGGCCTTGATTGTAAAAAAAAAAAAGGACTCCTTGACTTACAACCATTTAGTAACAGAATGAAATTACAACGGCGCTGAAAAAAAAGTGATAGGACAGTTTTTCACGCTTACGACCATTCTACCACCTCCACATTCACATGATCAAAATGTGGGTACTGGGCAATTTGGATGTGTTTATGACAATTACGATGTCCCTCGAGTCTTGTGATCACCATCTGTAATCTTCCCAACCAGCTTTTGACAAGCAGATCCATGGGGGAAGCTAGATTTGCTTAATGACCACAGGATTCCCTGAACAACTGCAGTGATTTTTGTTAACAAATGTGGCAAAAATAATTGTAAAACTCACTTAACAGCTTTGTTTAACAACAGAAATGTTGGGCTCAGTGGTGGTTGTAAATTGATGACTACCTGTAGGCTTCAGCCTATCTTGACTGATTGGGACAATATTAATACAGCCATATAGTTTTCTTGCCAATAACATGAAAGAGGTTTATCGCTGCATATCACTCTGTGGGGCTTTTTGGTATTTTTTCCCCAGCCTAATCCATTATCCTGGATTGTTCTGATGGTCTTCCATTTAAGCTTATGAGATCTGATTCTGTGAAGTTATTGATCAAGATTGGCTATGTTTCTTTCACCTGTTATGGCAATCTTCATAATAGCATTACTGTAAGCTGTTCTTTACTTGATATGTGCAGGGATTGAAAGCTTAAATATGGTAGGGATCCTACCAACAGATCAAGTGCACACAACAGATTTGGCACCAGTAGGGCCATAACAGGTTGAAAGAAAGCTGGGATAGATAACTTTTAATTAATACAGACATTTCATTGTACAATCCCACTGGCACAAATAGGAGCTGAGCAGGGGTGGGGTTCAAATTTTTTAAGAACCGGTTCTGTGGGTGTGGCTTAGTTGGTGGGCACGGCTTGGTGGTCATGTTATTGGCTGGGCATGGCCAACTCAATATCACTCACATCGAGGCACACATCTCCTCACCTGGCCTCTCATGACTGTGGGGATACTGCAACAGTTGTAAGTGTGAAAAATGGTCATAAGTCCCTTTTTTCAGTAACTTAGAATGGTCACTCCACACAAGCAAAGTACCAACAAAGGAGGAAAAAAAAACTCCAGAGATGTTCCTGAGGCAGGAAGTCTAGTCCTGCCAAGAACATAAAAAGGGTTAACAGAGAGGCAGTTTCTGTAAGCAACACCAGAATGTTTCCTTCCTGCCTTCCTTACAGGATTAGGCCAGTAATTTCTTCTAACAACTGGTTCTCCGAACTGCTTAGAATGTTAACAACCAGTTCTAGAGAATAGGTGTGAACTGGTAGAATCCCACCCCTGGAGCTGAGTAAGATTATTATTTTTTATGGTTTCTAAATCCCTCTGGAAAAAGTTTCAGGACATTGGAAAGAGAGCAGGGAGGTCATTTTATTTTTTGGGGGGTGCCAGTGTAACTTAGATAGCCTTCCAGTTCTTCCCCTCTTCCTCCCCCTTACAAATATATCTTCAGATATATCAGATTACCTATTCACCATATTATTCTAAGCCAGAGGTGTCCAACTTGCAGCTGTGGATCAAATGCACCAAGTGCTGGCCACCTCCTCCCCCCGTTTAGTGAGGAGGGAAACGTTGTTGATATTTCATGTGACGACATGACACTGCGAGTTTGACACCCCGGTCTAAGCCATAAGGTGGTTAATTTGGTTTTGGTTTAGCTTGTTGTATAATCAGAAATTGTATTCATAAATCATGATTTAGTTCATTGTACAAAAATAAGCTTAGTATGAAATATGAATTCAATCTATCTGAGTTCAATTAACATTTGAGACCAAAATCAAACATATTATAGCTTAAGTCAATGTGTGGACCACATTATTCTCAACACAATCAACACACAATGAAGGGGTATCTATAATCTCTCTAGATCAGGAGTGTAAAACTGGTGGCCTGCGGGCTGGATATGTCATGCACAGGCCATGCCCTTCCCAGTTCCATGATATGTCATGTGATGGCAACATGATATGTCATGTGATGGCAACATGACATCGCAAGTTTGACACCCATGCTGTAGATGAATAGTTTGCTATTTTGTCGCTAAGCGATGTGGTTGCAAAGCATAATCTCTTTGATTGCATCCCTTAGCTGATGCAATCCCAGTAGTCCTGATTGCCATCACTAAGCCAAGTTTGCAAGAAGTTAATGGGGGTCTTCATTATAACTTCCAGCCAGCTTCCAACAATCAAAGTCAGTGGGGAAGCCAACAGGAAGGTGCAAATCCCAGATGGCTTGCAATCAGTCTGGCAGGCAAGTGAATACTGTGGGGTGTGCATGGCTGCTGGCACAGCATAAGCATGTCAGGACTTGGGGTTGGTAGAGTATGGCAGGGGTCCCCAACGACCGGGCTGTGGACCGGTACCGGTCCGTGGAACATTTCCTACTGGGTCGCCGGTTTGCTGGGTGCCGCCATCTTGTTTGATGAGAAAGTGCTTCCGGGTGAGCTTTTCTGGTTGGAAAGCGGCGTTTGGGTCCTGAAGGAATCCTCGCGCCTTAGTTTCATCGAAGGGGGGGCTTTGAACAAAACTAAGGCGCGAGGATTTTTTCAGCACCCAAGGCAAGGCGAGCCAAGCGACTGTCCCGAAGCTGTCCCGAAGCGAAGCCCATTGACAAAGGTACAAAGGAGGAGTTGAAGGTGGCGGGCAGAAGCGGGGGACGGCTGGCTGGCCGGTCGCTCGGCTCGCCTTGCCTTGTCATGCGTGCTGATGCCGGTACTGGGCCGCAGATCATTTTGTGATGCCAGTACCGGGCCGTGGCACAAAAAAGGTTGGGGGCCACTGGAGTATGGGATTGCATGAGAGGGGGCACCACATGGTGCAAATGCAGCAGGTCTTAGAGTAGCTGCTATTGGGATTTGGGAGACTTATCAAACTGACTTGCAACCTTCCTTGCTGGCTTCCCCATTGACTTTGCTTGTAGGAAGCTGGAGGGAGGGTCACAAACACCAGTCATGCGGGCGCTGTAGCCATCATATGAGTGAACTGGATTCCAAGTCCCCAAATTGCGATCACCCCTTACCATGGAGGCACTGGGACAATTGGATATCCAAGGATTGGCTTGTAAGTACCACTTGTTCAGTGTCTTCATGACTCTGAATGGTCGCTGAACAAGTGTTTATTAACCAAGGACTACTTGACATTCTTTTCTACCATAATCAGGATGTTTTATATGGTATGTAGAAACTAGCAGAGAATACAGTTGTTTTGTACTTGTAAACATATTTGGCCCAGTATTATGACATCCCATTTCCTTTCTTAATACATACTGCAACTCTCTAATGTTTTTCATCTTTAGCAAACTTTATGTACTAGTAAAGGTTATTCAGAACCATATTGGATGATGCTGATATAATTGCTTTGCCAATATTGCCTTTAAATGAAGCAGCAGATTGCCTTTTAACTCCTAATGAGCTTGAAATTAAATTACCTACAGTGCGTCCTTTGGTAGTACTTATCTCCCAACCTAGATGTCTGTTTATTTAAGCAATCAGAAGACTTAACTGTTTACAGCTCAGGCAAGTGTCTGCAAATAGCCTCACTTATACCATATTAGCACACTCTTTGCAAATGGAGAAATATGAATTAATCATGCAGGTCTTGGTTAGTTCCTCTTTATGCCTGTTTGCTGATACATTTGTAATGTTGTTAGAAAATGAGTCGATGGTGAGCATTAATGAGATGTGAGAAATGGAGCAGAAAAGCCACATTTTAGCTGTTTTAATCAAGAGGAAGCGTCCTAATGTTGGAAACACGTTTAATGCAAAACTAAATATTTGATTCAACACAGCTTCTGCTAGTCAATTAGCCAATGTTTGTCAGTGTGGAAGATGCAGAGCTTAATGCTTCACTGAGTATGTCTCTCAGACACAGAGGTGAGTAATGGCCTGCATTTGTGATTTAGGTAACTTTGGTCTTCCTGCATTAGTGGAGGGAAGGATCACCAACTATTTTATCACCCACCTTATATTTTTGTCCTTTTGTATATACCAGGTCTATTTTATAAAGCCCATGGTTATATTTATTTATTTATTTGTATCCCACCGCTATTATTTTTATAAATAATTCAAGGGAGCAAACATATCCAACACAGAGTCCTCCTCCTATTTTCACAACAACAACAACAACAACAACAACAACCCCGTGAGATGAGTTGGGCAGAGAGAGTGACTGCGCCAAAGTCACTCAGCTGGTCTCTATGGCTAAGTTGGAACTAGAACTCACAATCTCCCTTTTTCTAGTCTGGTGCCTTAACCATTATAACAGGGCTGTGCAACTTTCAGACCTGTGGAATTCAAAGTCCACAGGTCTTAAAATTGCCAAGGACAGACCCCCAAACTTGCTCTCTACAAGGAAGATTTGCTTAGGAAAGTAAATAAACCCTTCCATCCTCCACCATCCTCAGGAAGAATATAAACCCTTCATTCCTCCACCATTCAATCACAAGTGAAAAAGCTTCTTGGATGAGAAGTGAAATGTCTTCAAGGAAAAACAAAGTCCAGTTGCCTTTTGAAAAAGCACCTTTGGGACAACCGTGACCAGGCTGACTGAAACTCTCCATAGACATACTCAGGAAGATTTTTATCTCAGGGTAACATAATCCTTGATGGAGTAGTCTTTGGAACCCTCATGATCTTACCACCAAAACTGAACATCCAACTGCTAAATAGCAGGAGTGTAATTTTCTATATTTTGTTTTTAACGAAAGCAATAAAATATGCCCATCATATATCTGCTATGCTTAATGGACTGATAAAAGTGATTAACATTATCCATCATGGAGCCTATCTTTTTACAGTACAGAGGAAATTATGTCTACTCCCTCTCACTTTTGATCAGGGAGAGAAAAGTGTCAATTTTCAGACATTACCATATTTTAGATCTATTAATACCCTTCACATGTATTTTTCAGAAGAAAAACTTCCTGATATATATTTAAAAGAAAGCAGTCAAGATGATGACTGTAATTGTATCATCAAAGTCCTACCTCTTTTTAACATGTCAACATATACTAAAAGAGGTGAGCTTCAGTTGTGTGGTTGTGACCTCTGCCTCGCCTTTCTTGACATGTGTATACTCCATTATCTTTTAGGCATATCTATGAAGATGCACTGACTCACTGGGTTTTGATTTGATTAGTTTTATTTATATGAGCAGTATTTCCAATACTGTTTTTGGCGACGTTCCTCGGTAGGGAAGGGTGGATTTCATATCTGTCCTGGATTCTCCTTGAACTAGGTACAAATGCCTGAAGAAACTTCTTTAAAAAAAAAAAACATTTCAAACTTTTTCCATTCCAGACCATTTAAAAGAGGAAGGAGAGATAATTTATCTTGACTACTATATTTTGAACCAAGTGGGAGTCAAATCTTTTCCCTGTTCTTTCTGAATAATCTAGAGTTTAAGATTCTCCAGTTATTGGGAATATTACCCTGCTTGCAACATGCTTCATTGAGCAAAGAAACCTATTGTGCTAAAAATCTTTAATAAATAAAGGCACTTAATAATGGATCCTGATATTATTTCTCATCATTTTTGTGGTCATTGTCACCCTTCTTTAAACAGTGGCAACAGGTCTCTATCTCTGTAGTTCTACTTTGATTTGTTGTTTTGGAATGTTTATATAATATATATGTTATCCTCAGAGCTGCTAGTGAGATTCATTTTTGAAATAAATAAGATACCACAAGGACCGCTGCTTTCAAAAATATATATGTTGTTCATTTCTTTAATTTAGAGAGTAATATAATGGGTGTTTGAGTTGTCACTGGAAACACACTATCATAAGCACTTAAGTAATCCTGTCATTTTAACAAGAATTTCCAGTAATATTTAATCCAGTGGCAAAATAACTAGAATTAAGCAAGATAAATATCAACTAGATATAATAGGGGGCAGCATGACTGGCCAGGATGAGGTCTTCAGAAATAACAAATATTGAAATAGTAATAACAACTTTCATTACCAGGTTTTACTGATACCGTAGTAACTTTTTCCACGTAGTTCTGACTAAAAACAGTAATGCCTAATACTGGCTAATTTCCTCTTCAGTCAATTGATATACAATAATTCCATCTTTTATTCCATCTTTTTTGAATTATCAACGGGTTATCTAAAATGTGACTAACAACAAAAGAAAGAGTGAAGAAGCAATAAGAAATCTCCAAAAAAGAAAAGGAAAGCAAGCAAAATAATCAATTTTAGAATTGATTATTAAAGCATTTATTGCATATCAGAACAAACTTTTAAAATCAACAGTTGAGTTCCATCACAAATGGAATGTATCAGATATTTGGTCTAGTAAAATGAGTATACAAGTATACTGACCGCAGTTGAGCCCAAAATTATTATTGCTAAACAAGACAGTTATTGAAGTGAATTTCCCCCCATTTTACAACTTTTCTGGCTACAGTTGTTAAGTTAGTAACAATGGTTGTTAAGTGAATCTGGCTTCCCCTTAGACATTTCTTATCAGATGGTTGCAAAAGGTGATCCTATGAACCCAGAACACTGTAACTGTCATAAATATGAGTCAGTTGAACATGTGGCCATGGTTGCTGCAATGGTCACAAGTGTGAAAAACGGTCATAAGTCACTTTTTTCAGTGACATTGTAAGTACAAATGGTCACTAAACGAACTATTAAGTCAAGGACAACCTTTAAATTGAAAATATTTAATTGTATATGATGCACCGTCATCAGTGTGTATATTATTCCCTCCATTAGCCCACTATTATAACTGAGAATATTACGGTATAATCTTTTGATCCCAGGAGAAACTGTTCTACTTGTGTAGCTGTCCTTATCAGAATATCAACAAAGGCTGTAAATCTGATTTTTACTTGGGTTTTAATTTAGTGGAGCTGGCTTTGCAGTAGCACACAAAAAGGTGTGTTTCACTTAAGTTAGTAAAACTTCGTTTCACCAATATTAAAAAAAATCAAATAACATTTGTATCTGATCAAAATGTAAGGTCTAAAACTAAATTAACTAATATCAACAGGATATATTTTGGGGGTGATTTTCCCCACTCCCCCCGCCTCCAAATTCTCTATCAGCTGTGTAATATCTCTACTTCATTTAATCAATTTATGGATAGTGTTTTACAGTTTATCCAGCACTGTACGTTAAAACCAGTGCTCAGGGGGAAAAATAGGGGGAAAAAATTCCTTTACACGTTTAAAAGGAATGCAATTGATTTTAGGAGAAATAACTGTGTAAAAGAGAAGAGGTGAACTGTCCTTGCATTTTCACAGAGGCTAAAGTTCAGGTTTGACTTGAATGATTGCAATTCATTCTGATTAGATAACTGTAAAAATGTCCTAGACTGTCCCAATGTACACATATTTGCTATTTCTAGCCAAGCTTCTATCCAGGACTGCTTTCTTTAATATCATGCAACTGACTCATTGATTATCCAGAACATAGCAAGTCTGCCAGGTTAAGAAGAATTTTACAGTAAATCATTCATTCACTTCAATAACATGTGTTTCCTGATCTTTTTGTGCCTAATCTGAAAAGTGGATTGCTGTTTTGCATTTTTGTTTCCCACTGATGCAGTTTACAAAAACAGTTAGAAATTTCTGCCCACAATTGTAATAATAGTGGTTATGTTAATAGGATAACAGGCAAGATTTGAAACTGAGGGAATCATACAGAATGAGAGAAGAGTTGGAAATGTAGCACAAAACGGATATGTTTGAATGTTTTGAACATGAGATAGATGAGTTTGTGGATTACGTCTAACAGAAAATTATGAAATCTTGATTTGATGGACATATGATTAAATCAAAATATGAATGAAGACCAAATAATTAGCTGATGGTTCTCATGGTCATGTTGACACAATCCAGTTGGAACTGTATGTGTGTGCATGCGCATGTATGCGCCTTCAAGTAAGTGTTGACTCCTGGTGTCTGCCTGCAGTTTTCTTGCAAGGTTTCAGAAGTGGTTTGCCACTATGTGCTTCCTTGGTCTGAGAGACAATAACTGGCCCAAGGTCACCCAACTGCCTTTGAGGCTTAATAGCAATAGCACTTAGACTTATACACCACTTTACAGTGTTTTACAGCCCTCTCTAAGCGGTTTACAGAGTCAGCATATTGCTCCCAACAATTTGGGTCCTCATTTTACCCACCTTGAAAGGACAGGGTGATGACCTGGGGCATGGCACAAAGGCAACACAGTCAGATAATCAGTAGGAGTCCCTTTATTAGCTCCAACTTTGCCCCCAATGTCCTGGTTAGGCTTAGGCTTAGGCTTAGGCTTACCTGCTGGCTGGAGAAAAACTCTCCCAGGAACAACCTTTGGCTGCAGACTATCAAGTCCAAAACTTGGTCATCAAAAACTGTAACTATAAGTCCAAACAAGGCAAAATGAGGTAATTAGTCTGGCAGGGCAGGAGAAGGAATTCCAGATGTGAAGGCACGGCACTAACTCAACATGGTTGGAAGAATGCAGAAACGCAGATAACTAAAGCATACACAAGATAAACTTACGTTTGTTCCCAGCAGACGCCGCACTCAGCATGCATCTCTTTTAAACTCCCTTCCCAGCTGTGGCTAATGAAGGGAATTGGGGCCCTTTCCTCCCCCATAAGGCACGTAACCCACATTGCTCTGTTCTCCATTCCTCCCTGTGTGCCCTAGGATGAAGAGGGGGTGGGCCTGGATCTTCCTCTGAACTCCTTCTCCCTTGTTCTACCTCTCACCTTGTTCTGACCCAAACCCTTGTCCAATAAAACAAACATGAACCAAAGGGAACAGAAATCTTTTAATGATTCTTATGAATCCCCAGTTAAAAGGCTGCTGCAAACTAATTAACTTTGATAAGCACGAGCCTTGCCAAAACTCTGTGAGGCTGCCAAAAATAACAGATAAGATTACCTAGAAATATGTTACAACACAGGAGTCTTCAAATACCAACTAAGATACTGCAATGTCCATGAGGCTTGAGTTTCAAAAGCCTCTTTAAATACCAACTAATGTCCACGAGACTTGAGTTTCAAAACGTCTTTGCTTCCTGCAAAGAACGTCCGATTCACAGCTGGCTTTTATCTTCTTGAAGGAGGGGCCATTACCTTGCAGCCTTATTCCCAAGTCACCCGTGCTGCTGCAGATGCTCTTTCCTGTAAGCAGCCCTGCACACAAGTGCACTTGGCACAGGCTCCTCAGGAACCTCCTCATCGCTGCTGCCAGCCCCCACAATGTCTGAAGACAGCAGTCCACTCCCTAATGGTCCTGGCCCCTCATCTGAGTTCTCGCTCTCCACACCTGTCTGCACCTGCTGCTGGCTAACCACAACACCCCTGTTCTGCCCAGCCAGACTGTGCTCTTCCTCAGTTTCTTCCACAGCCAACAGAGCCACCACACTCCCACTCCCTGTCAGCTGTTCATCTTCGTCCTTGGATTCAGATTCTGACAGGGACATGACAGATGGAAGGCTGAGCCAACCTTGAGCCTGGTGAGATTTGAACTGCCAAATTGCAGTCAGCCAGCAGTCAGCAGAAGTAGCCTGTAGTACTGCACTCTAACCACTGTGCCACTGTGATTCATAAGGTAGGACATTAACGTAGGACTAAAACTCTCAGTCTACCATTTCTAGCCAGTACATCAAACTGGCTCTCTTAGACCAGAGGTGGTATTCAGCAGGTTCTGACCAGTTCTGGAGAATCGGTAGTGGAAATTTTGAGTAGTTCAGAGAACCGGTGATAACCTTCCCCCAGGAGTGGGGTGGGAATGGAGATTTTGCAGTATCCTTCCCCTGCCACACCCACCAAGCCACACCCACCAAGCCATGCCACACTCACCAAGCCACACCCACAGAACTGGTAGTAAAATTTTTTGAATCCCACCACTGAGATAGACCTGTACTGATTGTTCGTAGGTTCCTCCCCTAAGTGTAATTCAAGATGCTAATTGTCACTTATAAAAACTTTTTGTGGAATAGCGTTGGTTGACTTGATAGACTATCTTTCTCCGATTGCCTCTCTCCATCCCATGACATCTGGTAGAAAGAGCATGTTTCAGGCCTATCAATAGAGAGTGCCTTCTTATAGGACCCAGGAAGTGGGCGTTTTCTGTCACCTTATCACCTGAAATTAGTTGTGTGCCAACCAGTTTCCGAAAGCTGCTAAGACCTGGTTTTTTTTTCTCTGAGCCCCTCTGGGGTGACAGGAAGTTACTTGAACCCAGGTGAGACGGATGCTGATTATTTTGGTTTGCCATATTATGTTGTTGTCCTTATCTTTAGTTTCACTTATTTCACCAGTTGTACCATTTTAAAATTTTGTTAGCTGCCCAGAGTCATGTTTGTTAGATCAGCAAGCATATAGGTCGATTGAAATAAATAAATAAATAAATAATCCATTCCCATCTGAGTACGGATTTCTTCCATATTGCAACAAATTGCAAACTAC